CAACTTCATATTATATCTCATATTTTGTGAAAGTTTCATGAAAAACCGCTGAATAGTTTTCGAGAAATCGCCTGCACAAAATTTTGTCAAAAAAAGAATAAGAATAATAAGAAACAATACAATCACTATAAGGTCTTCCGTGAAGACGGAAGACCTTAATAATAATAAGAAACCGAGTAAAAACAATATGTTCCCAAACTCCGTTTGGGGAACATAATTATGTACTCACATCACATCAACACACATATTCGTAGAAAGAAGTCATTTCTGTCGTACATGTTTTAGTATAGTGTTTTTTTTTTTATTAAAATCAAAATGAAAGAAACAAAATTCTTTGAGATAAAAATATCAACTTCTTAAATTTGATGGAAAAAATAACGAATTTGTGATCCAAAGATCTCCTCGGTGTCTAAGTGCACTTGACGGATGCGTCTTCGTGATGACCACAGTTGTGAACCCCCCATCCTAGGTGACTACAGGAGAATATTGAGGATTCTGATCCTGAGCAGCTCACATCGTCCAACCAGATCTGTCCTGTACCTTGCCCATAATAAGCCAGTGGGTAGGCAGTGTAAGATCTTAGGAAGGAAAAAAATGCTTATGTCCAATTACAGAGGATCGCACGGAAAACTGGAGCTTCAAAATTAACTTTAACACTTCAAATTCTGTACACATATCTTTAATAAGAAGCACTGAAAAATTGCTTTGATATTAAGATAATTCGACCATATGTAACAATATTGACTACTCTTTAACATAAATTTTTAAACTTCTCAAGTTTTATATGATCAGGAATGTAAAAAACAAGAGGTCCATGGGCGACTTCGCTCACCTGAGAATCTTTGACCATTCTGTTTTTTACCAGATTCCCCCCTTGTAATACATATTGTAAACCCACCCTACCCCAATGATCATAATTTAAACAATTTGATATCTAAACTAACCCAGGATGCTTCCACATAAGTTTTAGCTTTTCTGGTCCAGTGGTTCTTAAGAAGAAGATTTTCAAAGATTTTTCCTATATATTTCTATGTAAAACTTGGATTCCTTATTGTGGCCCCGCCCTACCCCCGGAGGTCATGATTTGAACAATTTAGAATCTAAACTATCCCAGGGTGATTCCACATAAGTTTCAGCTTTATTGGCCCATTGGTTCTTGAGAAGAAGATTTTTAATGAACCCACCCTATTTTTGTCTTTTCTTGATTATTTCCCCTTATGAGGGAACTTGGCCCTTCATTTAACAATTTAAATTTCTTTTTACCTAAGGATGCTTTGTACCAAGTTTGGTCAAAATTGGCCCAGTGGTTCTTGAGATGGAGTCGAAGATGTGAAAAGTTTACAGACGGACGGACAGACGGACGACGGACAAAATATGATCAGAAAAGCGTACTTGAGCCTTTAGCTCAAGTGAGCTAAGAAGTTTAGAGCTATTCATATTCAGATATGTATATACAGCTCAACGCACTTTTTAAACTCACATGGTTTTTCGCACAAATAAACGTCACATTGTTATAATGCAAAATTGAGTAACGAGGCAACAAAACATACTGAAAAGTGATTTATAATTAATTGATTTAATTAGATTTGTTTTTCAATCACTAGCTTGGAACACAGTGTACACTTAATAATTGGTAGGATTTTATTACGAGCTTGGATGATAAATTATGACAGCCCCCAAATGGTTTTTCATAGTTTCTCGTCAAATGCAGTTGTCTTTGTATCTGTTCTTTTTTTAAGCAGTCCTTTGCCTTGTCTAGACACAAAAACAGGTGCAGCTCATGTATTTTCTGTATGATGTGACTCTTTAGCACAAGATGATAACAGTATTTTTCTTCTATTCGACTGCTGTCTGTGTTAAAAAGCTGGCATTCTTTCAGGGTTACCTTCTGAAATCTTGAATCATGAAAGATACGTCCAAGCGAAAAAATTTCAAAGTTTCAAATCTTAAATGTAAAATAATTATCTTTTTAATAGTAACAATACGCTATTTGTAAAGATAAACAAAACTTAATTATCCCATCTTTTGGCATTTTCTTTCTACAACATTACCATTTTTCCGTGATCCATTTCGACAAAACCAAGATGAGTATTGAAAATGTGCAAAGTACTTAGAAAAAATACTCATCTAAAAAAGGTCAGTTTGGAAATTTCTAATTAATTGAATCAAAGAAAGCTCGATTGATTAAATTTGTGAATACCTATAGTAAAATAAGACCAAAAACTTGAGTGGATTGGAAAATTTTGCTGAATTAATGATTTTGATTGAATTTGTGGACACACATAGATAGTATAAAATTTTTTTCATAAGATAAAAACTATTTCCGAATCTTTCTAAAATAGAAAGTTATGAGCAGAATTAAATTTTTTGGTCTTTGTCGTAAGTTCTTTTGTAAAACGGGCCCATGATTCTTAAAAATATATATCTTTTACATTAGATATCTGATACATACATGCATTAGGGTCATGTCTCTTGATGAAGTTCGATTATGGTAAGTTTTATTGCAAGAGTAATGTGACCTTAATTTGTGCGAAAAACCATGTGAGTTTCAAAAGTGTGTTGAGCTCTATATATACGAACGGATATTGATTTTTTTTTAAAGATTTCCTTTAAATAGCACGTTTTATAGGATTGTTTAAAACAGTTATACATAGTGAGTTTATGTAAAGACTACTTTAAATAATTACCCTGTTTCACCATGCATAAACTACCAGAAAACCAGTATGCATTGCACAAACTATGCTGTAGTCAGGAGTCCCCCCCCCCAAAAAAAAAACCCCAAACAAACAATGTACCTGGTAGCTTATCTTCATAAAGGACTTTTGCGAAGACAATGACATTTACATTTGCAGTTGACAGCTTACTTTTATACCAGGAAAATCTATGGGAGCTCTATTGTGAAAAAATATTGATCTGAACATTCAACAAAACGATAAAAACGGGTTATTTCAAAGGTTATATTATGTTGTCTAGGAAAAAACAGCAACAATCCTACCCTCAACACCCTCCATTCCAGTCTTGACTAACTCCTGCCGAGTTTTCCTACTGAAATGTGTCTTCTTCTTCTTCATTATATTTCTTAAGTTATTGTAGATAAAAGGATATATTAATTCGCGTGAATGATGTATCTAAGGAATTTTTTTTCCATCAAATATATTTTTGGTTTGATAAATTATTTCAAAGCCTCGAATACAGTAACTTTCACCCCAATGGATGTTTTCTTATTTATTTTCAATTCCGTAACTCCGTATATGACGCAAGTAAGCCGTCACCTGTAAAAGTCAGTGTCTTTGCAAAAGTCCAATGAAAACGTAATGGTGTATGTTTTCAAATTCTGTAGTATCAAGCTTGAAATTCAATAAAAAAAATTATTCATCTTATTAGTTACTGCATTTCTTATGACTTGAGGACTCACCCCGAGTATCCCAGCATTCTACAAACAACTCTTGCATTAAAGTCGTTCCAGATATCATCACAGATTGTCCCCCACATGTCGGAGTGGTAAATCTCCACTCGTCCCTCGCTAGCGGAAGTTCTTCCAACCAACCGAACAAGCACTAAATTATGAAAATTGAGAAACATCAAGGTCGAAATCTAAGAATTATTATATTGTGATTTAGCTACAATTCGGGATTTCTTTTTTCATTTCTGCAAACAGACTTAACATATCCATTCATGTCCAGTGCACTTTATCAGTTCGATTTTGTCGACATCGCAATGTTAACACGATATTGTAATTAGATAGTCTACATTGTTTTTATTCATTATGAAGACATTGGAGTGTATACGATGTTGATGCGATATTGCTTTTACAACGTTTACATTGTTAATTTTTTCATTGTATGTCGACATTGTCGACTTCGCAATGTAAACAATGTTGATTTGATATCGAGTTTACTTCGTCTACATTGTTTTCATTTCTACATTGTATGTTGACATCATCGACATTGCAATGTAAACAATGCTAAAACGATATCGCGTTTACATTGTCTACATTCTGATATTGTTTCTACGTACATGTGAATACGTACATGTCGACATCGTTATGTAAACAATTTTAATGCGATATCGCTTATACATCGTCTACATTGATACCGGTATTATTTCTATTGTGAGTGAAAATAATATATGACACTTATATAATATGATTTTATGCGTTCAATGTGTTGTCAACGATTTTACAAAGATAGATAAACAAAAAGAAACGTAATGTGAACATGATTTCGACTTCATGTAGGCCGACACAAATATCTAAATAAGAAAATAAAAATAAAATTGCTTTATTGACTCAATATCTACTCATTATCGACCAACATGGCTGTGTCGACGATGTAAACAAGATTTTAAAAAGGCAATTTTGACACGATGTTGACTCGATATCGACCAACATTGCAATGTTGACGATGTGAACGATGTTAACAAGAAAAATAGGAAGGGCAACGTTGACACGATGTCTACTCGACATCCACCAACATTGCAATGTCGACGATGTGAACGATGTAAACAGCAGAAAAAGGGAGGGCAATGTTTACAAGGTGTGGACTTTCTATCGTTTAATGTAATATATATACATAAACAAAGGTATTATCCAACATTGTCATGTTGAATATGTTATGATATTAGGAGGACTAGTATTTTACAACGATGTCGACAATATCGAAAAAAAAACATCGTGCAGTGGACATACCTCAACAAATCATAACATAACGGCCTCAGGCAGACAGTTTGGTTTGGTTTGGGTTTTTTTTTAGGTCCGACTAAACGCATGTTGCTCTTACACTCAGTCAATTAATGTATAATATCAGTACCGTCTTCCTTGGAAGACGGTATTATATAGTTGAAGTTTTTTACAGTCTTCGGACTATGGGCTTCCTCTCTTTTGCGATTGGTAGAAATTGCATGATGAGAAAATTTTTACTCATTTCATTGGTTGAAATGCTGTTCAAGGCAAGGCAGATAACTTCCTGATGACCTAATTTTCGTACGACTTAACAATTTTGCAAGATTTTCAATCTAAAAAAATGACAAAACGAACAACAAAATCAGCATTAATTAAATAATTGATAACATGATATTTTTTATAGCAAAATCTTAAAAGGTCTCTTTAAATTCATTGTAAATATATCTTATTTTTATTGCTTGCAGGCTTTTAAATTTGTTATTATTCTTTTCCCCTTTCTTGTTTGAAGAAGCTTGGTAACGGAATCAGCCGAGATTCGACAAGATTCTCGGCCAATCAAAGTTCACGGAGATGACCGAGCGACAACCGGTAGGGCTTATGCCAGTAAAAAGGCTAATGTAGAAATACAAAAACCAGAAGTCTCTGTCGAGACTGTAGCTCTACTGATTTATACTTAAAAAAAGGAAGAGAAAAGTAGCAGTTGCGACTTTAAACTTTAAAACAGCAATAAATAGAAAAATGATCCTTGCTACTCATTAAAGCAAAAACCGATGCACAGAATTATGTATCTTAGTGTAGTCTACTTGTGTGTCAAGTTATATTGAAATAAGGCCAAACCTGAAGGAGGAGTATCATTTTGAAAGAATTTCACAGAAATTTCTATTTTTAGTAACCACGGCAACACCGTTCATTGAAATCAAAAACTGATGCACAGAATTATGTATCTTAGTGTAGTCTTCATGTTTGCCAAGTAATATTGAAATCAGACCAAACCTGAAGGAGGAGTAGCATTTTGAAAAAAAATTCAAAGAAATTTCTATTTTTAGTAACCACGGCAACACTGTTCAACAAAATCAAAAACTGATGCACAGAATTATGTATCTTAGTGTAGTCTACATGTTTGCCAAGTATATTGAAATCGGACCAAAACTGTAGGAGGAGTAGAATTTAGAAAAGAATTTCACAGAAACTTCTATCTTTAGTACCCACGGCAACACCGTTCTTCGAAATTAAAAACCGATGCACAGAATTATGTATCATATTGTAGTCTACTTGAGTACCAAGTTACATTGAAATCAGGTCATAACTGTAGGATGAGTAGCATTTCGAAAGAATTTCACAAAAACTTCTTTTTTAGTAACCACGGGAACACCGTCCATCGAAATAAAAAAAAACTGATGCATAGAATTATGTATCTTAGTGTAGTCTACATGTTTGCCAAGTTATAATAAAATCGGAATAAAACTGTAGGAGGAGTAGCATTTTGAAATAATTTCACAGAAATTTCTATTTTTAGTTACCATGGCAACACCGTTCATCGAAATCAAAAACTGATGCACAGAATTATGTATCGTAGTGTAGTGTACCACAGAGTCCGACACTTCTGCTTCATACCTGGATATTTTACTTGAAAAAGACACTAATGGTAATCTAACAACCAAGCTATATGATAAACGTGATGACTTTTAGTTTTCTATCGTCAACTTCCCTTACTTATGCAGCAATATACCTTCATCACCTGCATACGGAGTATATATATCTCAGTTGATTCGATACGCAAGAGCGTGCTCTACGTATGAACAATTTCTTAAACGAGGTAAATTATTGACAAGCAAGTTGATGAAACAAGAATATCAACAGTCTCGTTTAAAGTCATCATTTCGTAAATTCTATGGTCGATACAATGACCTTGTCAGCAAATACAATTTATCATTGAGTCATATGCTGACTGACGTTTTTCATACCAATTGTTAGTCCATTATTTATACACTGAATTGACGACGGATTTTTTCCGTTATTTCCTGATCATGACAACGAGCACACGGCGGGTGTGACCGGTCGGCAGGGGATGCTCACTCCTCCATGGCACCTGATCCCACCTCTGATGTTTCAGAGGTCCGTGTTTGCTCTGCTCTTATTTTGTATATTGTTTAATGGACGTTGAGATTGAATACTGTTCGTTATCTCCATATCCTTCTCTACTTGTGTGTCAAGCTATATTGAAATTGGACCAAAACTGTAGGAGGAGTAGCATTTTAAAGGAATTTCACAGAAATTTTATTTTTAGTTACCATGGCAACACCGTTCATCGAAATCAAAAACCGATGCACAGTAATTATGTGTCTTAGTGTAGTCTACTTGTGTTTCACGTTATACCGGTATTGAAATCGGACTAAACCCGTAGGAGGAGTAGCATTTTGAAAAATTTTTTACAGACAGATGGACAGAGAGACAGACGGACGCCGGACGCATTACTATCACATAAGCTCTTCTCAATTCTGACCAGTAGAACTAACAAGAGATTAGAAAGAACTAGTTTTAATTGTAACCGTTACAACTGGGACCGTTACAGATGTTCCCCAAACGGTCCCCAAATCGCTTTTTGTGCCATTTCCTGTAAGACATTTTTAAAATGTGCTCAGTATCACAGGATTTCATATAAAAGTTATTAAAGCTACAATGATACCGAATATATGTCATTTAACTCATTGCACGCGCACGCACGTGCATGCACATGCAAGATCATGGCATGTTGTCTAAACCATTAACATTTCTTTATGTCGTAGGAATCAATAAGAAAAATCATAAAAATTTAAATGTTGCCGTTTTTTCAAATATATTGGTTATTTTGCTATTGTGCGCGTGCACTTGCATGCATGCGTGTCCTTGCATTCAATTCTGATATTAGCATAATGTAGCAATCTATCATACCTATCCATATTCTAAATTTCATCCCGCTCTGTTGAGAACCAAAAAAAGTTAAAGGCAGATTACAGCACATGTGCATGCGCATGCTTTTATGATAATTATTATATATCATGCTGTAGATCTTCATAATATATGATTATGTTCAAAATTTCAAAGGATTTTGTCAAAAAAAATTATTGAGGCTTTAGTTTCAGCCAATCAGAGCGAAGCGCACGTGCATGCGCGTGAGATCTTGCTATTTTCACCATGTCATCATGTTTATGCTACTAATATATCCTGACATTATGAGTTTCAAAGCATTTCATCAAAAAATAGAAAAGTTGAGGCTATATCTGATATATTGCTCATTTCACGTGTTGCACGTGCGCGCTCTTGCTAGCACGTGCGCGCAAAATGACCTTGATTCTGCAATTCTACATAACATGTCTACTGACCCTAAAAAAGGATTTACCTACATCGGACAAACAGTTTACAAGATCATACCCGGACAAAAAAGTACCAAGCAAGAAGAAGAAGAAGAAGAAAAATATAACTAGTGCTAATGGTAACGGGGACCGTTACAGATGTTCCCCAAACGCTCCCCAACTCCCTTTTGGTGCCATATTCCCTGTAATCTCTAT